TATTGATAATCACCATTGATAAATAGTGAATATATTTAGTAACCATTATCATCATTACTAATAATAGTGAATATATTTACCAATAGTGAATATAACTATTATCATAATTGGTGATAAATGATCAATCTGGCTGGATCACGGCGCCGCCATCATGGTCCAATGGTCGAATCAGAAGTCTTCAAACAGCTTGGCGAATCGCTGTGATTAATGTCATACGGAAAACCTATAAAGAAATATGCTGATTACATAATGCTGATGATTATAATGATGTATCAGAATGATGTAATTATATTATATTATTATGAATTATAATGCTGATTATGCTGATTACCCTGATTACCCTTATTGCACAGGTAATGGTATATGTATATATATATGTGTATATATACATATGTATATATATATATATGTATATATATATATGTATATATATATATATGTATATATATATGTATATATATATATAAACAGAACTTAAATTTGGACACATATTTTGATTCATTATATTCGGTTCATAAATGATTCAGGGAATTGTTGTGTAGTAGTGATGTTTTGGTAATTATTATATAGTCATTATGATAACGATTACAATAGCATATGAGATTCATCTTTAGTCAGTAAGAACAACAAACAACTGGTTTGTGGTTTCGAATACGGTGCATGTTCAACCATATAGAAATGGGATGATGACAATGACCAGCAAAAAAATTAGCTGGACGGCTCAACCTTAATCAGACAACGTCATTGCAATTACCATCTGGTTATTTAACGTAGCCATGGAACATCCATTATAAATGGATATAAATGGAGGTTTCTAGCTGGGAAAATCATCTGTAAATGGGCCATTTTCCATAGCTATGTTAAATAACCAGATGGAACGACATCCTCACGATGTTGATTCAACCTCCATGTTGTCCACATATCGCCACATCTGTTGGACAGGTGCCAACCAAATTCGTCATCCCGTTGTTCGGATGCCTCAGAAAATTCAAAGTGACCAACGCGTTGTGCTGATGGCTATAAGATCTGGGCGTGGCAAAATCGTGCAGCCTACAGAGTCATAGTTGTGGTGTAACAACCCCAAAACAGAGGACGAAACTTGAAAACCTGGAAGTATGTTGTAAATCTCATCAAACTACCATCCTGAAACCACTTTTCTGCGTCTTTTTTGGGTTACTATAGCTGATGAACCATTTGTGCAAAATGAAATTGATACTGTCTGTTACTTGATGGATGATTGACTTGTTGAACTTTGGGATTTTCCAGCTTGCCATGTTTTGATCGCAGAGTTCCCTCTGCTGAATCCTCTTGGCGGTCGCTTTTGCCGTTTTGCCAAGGTTGGTCACCGACACCAAAAAGCGAACCTCTTCTCGGCATTCGTGAACGCGAACACCTCGGCCAAATGATCACGTCATGCTTTGGAGACACAGCTGTCATCGAATGGAACTATTGCCAACACATTCACACACACACACACGCGCATGACACACACACACACACATCACATGTGTATTCACACAGACATCAAGGCCGCGACTGTTCGTGACTCACGGACAAGTGAAATTCGAGTTTCACAGGGCTTTGCCCAGACACCTCTGCGCGACCTTGCTGGTTGTGCTCCTCTTGCTGGGGGAATGCGATGCTTTGGCAATTTCATACCATTCTCAGGTGTAAAATCCATCTCAGTGCCCATTTTGGATGCATCTAATCCATTCAAATCCATTAAAATCATTAGAAACCATCAACATCCTCATTTGCGTGCCTGATTTGTGCATCAGCACATCAGTCCCCGTTGAGAACAGCTACACGCCGTGATGGTTTGATGGGTGCTGCCGTCAAATCATTGCAAGGGATACCCCAAAATGAGCATTGAATAGGAGCATTTTCTGGACCAGTTGGTAGATTATGCCCCTACAATCCTACAGTTTTTTGTGTTTCATAGCTACCAATAGCTACTAACTGGTGCAGGATTTCGCCACCATCCAGAGTATGTTCCTTTTGTTTCCCATTTTGCCACCCATTAAATTTGGGTAGTTAGACCTGAGGGGGGTGTCAATGCACCATGGGCTGTGAATCATGCTTTTTGTCTGATTCGGCTATGGGTCAAAGTGTGCAACCCCTGTAGTTCACATCGAATTTTAGCATGTGCTTGTGGACGTTCATTCCCAAAGATGGTATAGAATAGCTATTGACCCTTGTTTGATTTGCTTTTAGGGTATTTTGACTTGATGAAAATTGTGTCCATGCATTCCAACTCATTCTAGTGACCGTCATTGTCATCATGTTGTGACTATTTTGATGTTAATTCAACAACAGTACAAAATCGCTGCCATCATCAAAGAAATGGGAGTATACTAGGATGCAACCCCCATCTTGATATGTGACTAGATTTGGTGCTATCGTGTTGTTATGATATTGGTTGAGTCATGTAAATCTGTAAACAAGTGTGTGAGTATGTTTGGGATTATATTATCCAAGGATTTCTATCCGATATCAGAAAAAAGCCTTACTTCGGAGGTGTGAATAAATAGGATGGTTTAAGGGACAATTTATTCATTGTGATTCAAGAAACCCATGGTTTCTTTGTTCACCAAAAACTTTCAGACAACTGTCCTCTCCACCAATCAGTTCTGGGATGATTAGCGTTTATTTCATCACACGGCTATTCCTCTGGAGGAGGCTGCATGCTGTGGAATGTGTTGATGGAAGACGAAACGCGAACCACTGGCCATACCAGGATCATGTTCAACAGCAACACGGATGCTAAGATGTCAATCTGTTGAGATCATCACAGTCGGTCCACATTCCACACTAGATCTACGTAGTCATCTCGATACAACGCAAGCGTTGTTACCTTTCGTCCGGTCCCGAGTGGCGTCAGCTGTCGCCGGGTTTGATTAGGGCTGAAACCGCAGAAACCCAATCCAAAATGAGGTCCACCCGTACAAAAAACAGCTTATGTTGCTTAAGAAAACTCTAATGACTGTTGGATTTACTACAGAGATCAGTTACAATTGAATGGATTGACATAATTGATGGTTGGTGGCTGTTTTCAGATTCCACATTTCCTGGAAAGATGCATCCTCTTGATGGGAAACAAATTGGAGATGAGTTGTTGAATCACCAGCTATACACATGCAGTACTTAAATTTTCTAGAATTTGACTGAAGACTATTTTCAGAAGTTGGAACTTGTTGCATTTTTGTGGAAAAATAAGTACAGATCTGGTACAGATCTGGTACAGATCTGGTGCTAGCTATGTGAGCTTCCAGATGTTTTCCTGTCATCGTCTCCGTGAGGTTCACTGTTACAGATGGAACAGAAGATGGCACTTGGTACAGGCGGCATCCGTCAGGGCCGGATAGCCACAGCGGCCTTAGTAAAGGACTTGTCAAATGAGAAAGTTTTTCATGACTGGATGATTTTGGTCTGGTTGGTGGTTTCAAACATGGCTTTTATTTGCCATAATATATGGGGTAATCCTTCCCAGTGACTAATATTTTTCAGAGGGGTTAAAACCACCAACCAGTTGTTGATTTTTGTTGGCCATATCGTTTGGAATCAAACGGATGTCAACACTTTGAGGCGTCTGAAGATGGGTTGGCTGTTGGGCTGCAACGTGCAGCAAAGATCATGTCCTCACCTTGTGGATTGGGTGGAGATTGAATCTTATTCATTTATACATATCACTCACGCATAGTATATTATATATATATATTTGTTTTAATGTGTATATATATATATACATATTACGCGTTGTTTCTCTGAATTCCTGCTTCTTTTCTTTACTTGACAACCGACCTTTTTGTTGCACAGTGGTCCTGCTTGTTTTTAATCTTATACACAGTTTCATGTCTGGCCAAGTCTAGTCAACATTCAAGTCGGCTAAATCACTTTTGTTCACGTTTTTGTTTGAAGATAATGCCGGTATCAGTTGGTTAACTATCGCTTAGTAATAAGTGGCTAATTAGTAATAATTGGTTAATAATACTTGGCTAATAATAATTGGTAATACTTGGTTAATAATAATTGGTTAATAATAATTGGTTAATAATAATTGGTATCATGTTTTTCTTCTTGTTGGTTTTGTATCCTAGTTTTTTCAAGGGCTTCCCATTTCAGATGGATGTTTTTTGTTCCCTTCAGGCCTTGTCACGTTGGACTTCACAGAAACTGCGCAGGGAGGCCTACGGTATCCTACGGTCAGGACGTTGAGGCATTTATGGAAGGATAATTGGATGGATAGATAATAGATGGAGGTTTCTATTTCTATCAAAATCAACTCGGATGTCCATTTTATGAGATGGATTTTTCTGGAAATCCGGAGTTTTGGAGGTTAAAACGTGGGGAAATTCATCTTTTTCAATGAATTTCCAGCCATGGATCCGATGGATCCTGGTAAAACGTTTACCAAAAAGCGATGGTTTTTCGATGGCCCTAATCGAAATAGCATGGTAAACACCGAACTTCATAGCATGGTGATTTTTTATATGTTAAATCACTAGAGGGTATGTAGAAATTCTCAATAGACATTGGCTAGTGGAAACGATTTTCTCGGAATCATGGCTGTACTGAGCTGCAGACCTTGGTCTTCCATATTTCGAAGTACATAAGGAGTGCGTGTGTAGAATCAGATATTCTCAATATTTTTACAAACAGAAACTAAGCATGGAGTGAAATGATACAGACTTAATCAGGCTAAACCGTAGCGGATTTGATAATATAAACACAACTTAAATCCCTTTATATTATAATATATATATACATATACAGTGTGATCCTTTTGTGTCAGGTATCCCTGTGTCATCAACCATTTCTATTTCAGATCTTGTTCTAAGATAAATTATGATATATATATATATATATATATATACATATACATATACATATACATACAAATTATAAATCCTGGTTGGTGTATGTTACTAACCTTTTTCCTTTCCAGATGCTGCAGAAGTCACTGCTTGGAAACATGCAACTCTCAACCGGAACTGTGCTACTCAAAGTAGACGTCAGGCTGTACAACGTCCTTTGAGACAAAATCCAACCGATTGAGGGCAGCCAGCTCCGTTTCCACTGCCTCAGGAGGAGGAGCATGGCCAACAAAAGTCTGTTGCACAAAAACGGCTAATGCGTGTGCAATGGCTGCATTCATTGCAGCAGGGTAAATCTTGGCTATTGAAGTACGAAAATGCCCTGCTGAATCCCTGCCCTTCAGGGAAATGTGGGTGCCCTTCGGGTGAGGGCATCTGCCTACCCTACCTAGCGCTTGAATTTGACATCGCAGCCACGGCAGTCGTACAAGCATCAAGATGGTGGGTTTCATTCCTTCACAATGGAAAATGCATTGGTCAAACGTTACAATAGTAACGCAATGTAGCCTTTTCATCCATCTCATTGCCATCGACGACCAAGTGCTAGCAGGCCGAGATTGGCTGGCCCACACCGGAAAGGCCGGGTGTTCAAGGAAGGAGCAGCCGCCGGTGACAGCACACCAAAAACACATCTCAATCATGAACTGCATAAGGGCTGTGCCCAAAAGCGTTTGCTGCCATTGCCGAGCGCTATTGCAGGGCAAACCATTCAGTTCATCGTAGCTGCGGAGAGGAGGCGGTCCTTCAGAGATCAGTCTGGCGGCCGAGTAGGACTCACAAGGTGGTCCCCCTCCAACTCCGAAAACAGCACCACTTTGAATCTGCTTGGTCCAAAAGATTCTGCTGTTCGACGTTGTAAGATCGCAGCAATCTCCTTGGAGACAAAAATCCACGCTAATGCAGAAAATGTGATAGTGACCCTGAATGACGTGATTTTCGATTTGGTGTTGCAAATCACCTTCGCGGCGGTATCCAGAGAAAAAATGGATGAAGCAAAGCGTCTTCAAATGTAACTGTGCATAAAGTCGTGAAAGTCCCACCATGGAAAAGCATCCATGGTGTCCGTGTTCTTCGCCTGTAACAGAATGCATAATGAAGCAAAGCTCAGAAGGGTCCGCAGAGACTTCAGAAGAAGAATGAGGCAACATCTCCTGGGTGTCAATCTGCGTGCAAATGCCTGCTAAGCCTTCAAAGCGGAGGCTGCCAGAAACCTCTTTGCGTTGCTTCCACTTCTGCATCATCAAGGCTGCTGCCGGTGATTGCGCAGGAGGGAGATGGGGCCCAAAGGCGCGGGTGGCAGGTACGCATGCTTTGGTCGGCAACCAGCCAAGCTGCCGCATCTCTCGCGCAAGTTGACGGTCACTCGCATTGAGAGCCTCCAACTCGTCATCCGCCAGCGCTGGAAATACTGCACGAATGCGGCGAAGACATTCTGTAGAATGTCGAAGATGGGCGCAAAGTCGGGCTCGGCAATGATATAGTCGGCCACAGTTCGCGCACGTGCCATCTGTTGCGTAATGCTTGACAATGGTTTGGTAGTCGTGCATCTGAACCGCGTGCATGGCCAATGCTCGTTTGGATGGGAACGTTTTATCACAAAGTTCACACGTCCAACTGCTTGGGGGGGCCTCAGGCTCGGCGGCAAAAGGCTCAACCCCAAAGTGCCGAAAGGAGTGCTGGATCCACATCTGCCAGATCGCGGTGTGCGCATTGGCGTGATGATAAGCTTTGCAGGCTCGTTCAGCTCGGCGAAGATGGCCCTTCCATCGGGTGTCAAGTTGAGCGACTGTGACCCAGTCGATCCATGTAGAATCTGAGGTGAGGCCAAAATGGCGATGGCTAAATCGCGCCAACCAAGCAAAGGATTCATGCAGGAGGCGCATCCATGATCCTGCTTCATTGCGCACCTGTGCAAGAGCTCTCCAGTGCACTTCAGGACACTGTAAAAGCATGCGCCTCAAATAACGCAGTCGGGCAAGATGAAGTTGGGCACGAGGGGGTAGAATTCCACAAAGGCCACACAAGGTCTCAACTGAGCACGAAAACGGAGGTTGTCCACGCAATTCTGGTCGGGCAAGGGAATACAACATGGGTCGCAGACCTGCTTCCCAAGTAGAAATCCATTCATCAGTAAGCCAGCTCCAGGTATGAGCATTGTACAAGAATCGACTCATAACCAGTGCGTTGAACACCTGAATCTTGGTACGCTGAGCAACACCTTGTTTGTTGAGAAATGGTCGGCACAAGGGTCCCCAGGCTTTACGTGCAGCAGTGATACGGTCACGGATGGCACGCAACGGCTTCGCATCATTGTGAATCCACGTTCCCAAATGTTTGTAGGCGATGACGACTGGCACGGTCAAAAGAGTATCGGTAGCCTCATCGTGCACGGTCCACTTGCCGCCACTAGCTGCAACCTTTTCTTTGAAATGCCTGGTGCGGGCACCCCGCCATGCCATCAGAAGCTCAGTTTTACCCGCTCCATACGTAAGATCAAGGCCTCTCTTGCTGGCAGCGCAGTGAATAGCAGAGAGGGAGCACTCGGCTAAAGTGATCAAATGGTCATTGTCTGGAGCAGCAAGCAAAATGGCAAGGTCGTCAACGTAGGCCACTTCCGCCCAAGAAGAAACGGGAAGGTCATTGCTGATGGTAAAATCATCGACGGAAGTAGAATCCCCCATCCAACTGGCATCAGACTTGCGCATGTCCAGGGTCACATCACGGAGGATAAGAGCCATGGTCAAATTGAAGGCTGCGTCGCCAATGGGATCACCAGGACGAGTGCCCCTAGTGGTGACGGCTACTTCCGAAAGGCCGGAGATTTCAAAGCATGTGGACTGTAATAAGTCCTTCAGCAAAGAGATGGCGTGAGAAGTCAAATTTGGAATGGCAACATCATTCTGAGCAGTCGTCAAAAGGTCAGAAATGTGTTGAGGATGTACGCCAAGTCGATGCATTGCGCAGACAAAGCCTGTCGCATCCAACGGTTGGTCAAAAAGGCCTTGTCTGATCACACTGTAGAAGGCAGCTTTGAAGTCCACAAACAACACAGCTGAAGGGATTTTGCGAAGAGCCGCCTGTGCCAGATGCGACTGCACAATATGGTGGGCAGAATCGCTGCCGACGCCTTTGCGTCCACCAAACTGGATGTGCGAAAGCACGGAAGTCCATGAGGTCACCAATTGCTGTCGTAGAATGGCATGGTAAATCTTGGTCGTGTAATTGTTGAGAAAGATGGAGCGGTACCCCTTAGGGTCATCCCGAGGGAGCTTTCCCTTGTGTAGGGGAATAAGTCTCCCAGTCCGCCAAGCCACTGGCTCTCGAGCTTGCATGGCAATCTTGGAAGTCAAGATCGTCAAATGTTTGGCCAAGGGTTCACCTCCTGCTTTCAAAACATCCGGTGGGATATTGTCTGGGCCAGGGGCTTTGCCACGCTTGAGTTTGTGCAGCTGCTTTTGAACCTGTGCGAGAGTAGGCAGAACTTCGAGGTCAAAATCCCCGTGAGGAATGCCCAAATTGGGTGGCAAGCCACGCCGAAATTCTGACCTGGCGACAATGTACCCAGCCTCAACATCTGCAAACTGTTTGAGCCATAGCTGTTGTTGTTGTGTAAAAGAGGTGACTGGGCCACCTTCAGCTTGAAGGGCAGGAAGGGAACGAATGGGTTGTTTGTGCCCTTTCTTGGCACCAAGTCGAGTCAAAGTACGATAAACTGTACGGGCATCATGGAGATCACCAGCAGCCGCCATGTGTTGAACAAGGTCATCGTAGAAGATCTGTTGATCGAGATGAACTCGTCGGCGGACGTCCTTCTCCAAGAGCTTCAATTGAGCTTTGAACTCATCATCGTGCATGAGATCATTTTGGCGGCCGTAATCTAGACAAGATCGTTTGAGCGCGATCAAATTGCGTGTGGATTCACGGAGCCGAGGCCGTACTCGATCATGCTTGGTTTTGGTGAAGAACTGCTTGGCCAAGTCAAGGAGATTGGATTCAAATTGGTCAGCATGCGCATCCACATGGACTGGCCATGCTGGAATGGGGAGTGTCTCCAGAGCGTCTTGAAACTGCTGGCATTTGACAGGATCTAAGAATGCGAGGGAATCCCATTGCACTTTATCAGCGGCAGGTTCAAGGGCAATCCATCCACGAGCATGCAGGCAAACAGGAAGGTGATCTTCATGACTGAAGCCTCCATCATGTTGCTGTGCCACCCACGTCTGAATGGAGAGAGAATGAGCTGCGGCTGAAGTCAAAATATAATCACGACGAGACTTGGCTCCTCGCGGATGGGTCCATGTAGCATGAGATCCTGTATGGCACCAAGTCATGGTTGTAGGAGCATACCACTGAAATTCGGTAAGAGCAGCTTCAAGGAGTTCACCAGGGCCATTTGTAGGTTCAGCACCATGGGTAGAGAACAACGTGGTCTCGTGTGAAGCCAGTGGGGCGTTTGCATCAATAAAAATCCAAGTCAGGGGAGCAATGGCGGCCTTGCTCACTACTGCATGGGTTTCGGTCCACCACTGGCGAATTTCTTCGAGATCACATTGCGATGTTTTACATGGCACATGTAGAACAATGAAAGAAAGACGACATTGTCGATGCGTCAAATTGACAATCAGGCGCCTGGGATCTGCATGGGTAACAACCGCTTGGAAGTCAGCAAGTTTCAGCTTGAGATCAGGAACGAGGACCAAATGTTGATGGATCCACAATTCACAACCAAAGTGCTGCGCACGACTGCAACGTTGAGCTCCTGAAGCAAAGCACTTGTAATTGCCAGCAGTGTACGTGCCTACTTCTCGGCGGGTCTCCTGAAGTCCTGCCACGTGAATGCCATCTTGATGCCATTGATGGGCCAATCGAAGGGCGCGCTCAGAGCTGGAGGACGTAGGCATGTCAGCATCAACAGAGCCGAGAGCAAGGACATTGGCAGTCATACAAAGAAAATCCATTTGTTTCCATTGCTCATCTGGATGATACGATTCATGTATGGGCACACGCAAGGTGCTCGGTTGAACTTGCCACACTCCATGGTGAGAACCGGGTGGAAGACATTGATGCAAGGTAGTAGGCGCATCGAGAAGCCAAGCCCAGTTCAGATCTGGAGTCTTGATCAAATCTGAATACCCTGTCAAGTCCAAAAATCCAATTGCTTGTCCAACTTCCATACAATGCTTCGCAACACCATCTGCCAACTCATTCCAAGGGTCTCCGCAATGCCCTCTGACTTCAAGAAAAGTGCCACGGCATTTTTTAAACCAACTTCCAAGCGTTTCGCACAACTGGCAAAGAAGGGGATGTGCTGTGCAGCCCCATTGATGGGTGGCCAATTGGGCACTGAGCTTCAAATCTGGACGAATGACAATGTGGAGGTGTTGGTCCATCCCTAAGCACGCGGCCATGGCGGCACAAGCTGCAGTCACCTCTGCTGCAATGTTGTCAGGGCGGTTGGCGCCAAGCCACTTGTCATGCGTGGTGTCAATCACAACTTGATCTGCAACGCACCCTTGAAGGGACGGCAAGCTATCTGAGTCAAAATGGACGAATACAATACTCCAAGCGGCCTGCATGCCATCAGCCGCGCCGTCAACATACAAAGCTATGCAGTCACACAGAGAAACTTCTTGAAATTCTTCTGGGGACGCAAGAGCAGAGTAAGTAGTGGGGTGCAACTTGAGGCCCTCTGGTATGAAGGTCGGAGAGGGCAAAACTCTGGCAAAAAAGGTAGGCCAATTTGGGACTTGCATGTAAGCCACTTCAGGAAATGAATGCTGCTCTTCTTTGTACACGAAGTTGTCGGCCAAGCAAGCAGTCAGGTTCAACGTAACCCTTGGCTGAAAAGCCTCGGCAGGTTCGGTCAGAGGTACTGCAGGCTCAGCTGTAGCCACTTCAATGGGAGGAGCTGCTTCCGAATGAGTTGCCGGGATGCGGCGAACCATGGTCTGAATCAAGTTGAGTGCCTCGTCAGTTGAAGATGTAGTAGGTTGAACAAACCGTTGGCTGCCTAAAACATCCAAGACAAGTGAGCTTCCAGAGTGGATCTGCTGTGTGGCATATGGAGCAAAGTACTCTTGTCCAAATCCTACTCTGCGAGGAAAACGCCGCAGAGGCCCTGGAAGCGCCAAAATGTCAACGACCATTTCTGCCGAGACGTAGGTGGGCAAGAATGTAGCAACATGGTGCAAGGCTTGGCCTTCGTCATCACGCACACGTGTGGTGAGCAACGCGGCAACTTGGTCCTCTGGAAGTCCCTGCACAATCAGCATATGGCCAAGGGTGTGCTGCGTCAATGAGGAAGGAGGCATAGGTGCAACCCAAAAGAATTGAACGGGAAGTGTACTATCAAAGTGATCTCCCCATCGTTCAATCAATGTTCGATGCCACATCCAAGGTTGGTCTCTGAGACGCACAACTCTGTTCTGTACACAGCTAGGCCGAAGGGCAAAATGAAGGAACCAAGTGGTGAGATATGCAACTGGCCCTTCATCTTCTCGTTCCACTGCAGCGCCGTCAGGAAAGGCTCGTGACATTGCCACCAGCCAGGTAGGTGCTGTATCCTCTGCTCCCAAGAATGGCGGAAGAGCCGAATTATGAGACAGTTGCGCCTGACGTTGTGCCAGATTGGTGACCACAGGCCTTGGAGGTGGTGGCCCTCGAGCACGATTCAGCACAAGCCGAAATGCGTGACCATGTCGTGCATAGGCACGTTCATTGGGAGCAAACTGCCGAGCCCCGAACCAGAGAGAACAGTCATTGCGGGGCGCCTCCGGGGGACACTCCTCAGTCAGTTCCGCCATGATCATCACCGACAGGAGGTCGATGCGATCGCTCATCACCATCGCCAATGAATGTGCAAGGCCGCGGTCGTACTCGCTATCATAAATGGACAGCACAATAGAGCGTTGGAACCGTTGTGGGCGTTGCACCACAATGAGTTGGCCAATGATCTGGCCGGATGCGTCTTCCGGCAAGGGGTGCACGATGTGAAACTCGATCGGTGCACCCAGGAGAATATGCTGCCGCCATAGGTGCATGATCTGCTCCTCCCAGCGTTGAGCGTCCGGGCCGAGGATGGCGATGCGAGTGTGGTGACACCTCTGGTAGCTGAGATGATCTGTAAACCAGGTTTCTAGACGACCGAGTCTCTCTACCGCTCCAGGTCCGATGGTGGCCAGTCGATTCCAGTGCTCATACAACTCTCTTGTCCAAGGAGCTAAAGCTTCCAGATCAAAAGCATCTTCTTGGAATTCTGGCAAATTTTCTGCGGCGGTGCTCATTGCATTGACGGCTCTGAGGAACTCCTCCGTAAAGCTAAGCTTGGAGTGTGGTACCGGACATGTGCGATCAGATGACTGAATATCCTCCAACTGAGGTGGGAGGCACAATGGTTGCCGGCAGATAGCACCCAAGGTCTCAACCGTATTCAAGTCAACCGAAATCTGCAGAAGTACAATATCTGCAGGATCTTGCATTCCAAGTTGGGCACGAAGTTCTGAAGGATCAATCAAGCTGGGTGAGTATCCAGAACTTTCGGACCAGCTAGGGGAGTCTCCAAAGGTGAGCTCGTTATGCTGTTGTCGCCGAGCCAGAAGAGGTTGTGTGGGCTCGTCACAATACAGTGATGGAGGAACCACAAGCTTGAGGTAATCACCATGTGTAGGCCGCAGTAAAGGATTATGCTGTGAGAGAACAGGTTGGTGATTGTGGAAAATAAGACAACGATCATCTTCAAGATGACAATATACATCAACTCCAGCACGTACAAAGATGGCTTGCATTGAGGCAGGAATTGGGGTGACCATCACTCTTCGATCAACAACCGGGGCTGTTTGATAGTGGGCCTCCAGTGTATTTCCGTGCATCTCATAGTCAACCAAGCAAAGACGGCTAGGTTCTCCTGGTTCCATGTCCGCTTCCAAATGGACGATCAAAGGGGTGACATCGTCAGGAAGGTCAGGAAGCTGGACATTGATCTCATAAAGTGCAACAATGTCGTCAACCTCCACATTCATGAGTCTTGCAGCATCTGCCATCATGCAATCATAATCAGTCCAGTCAATGCGGCCAAAAACGACTGGATCTTCCAAATGATGCAAATAGACAGCTCGCATGGTGTGGGAGGACGAAGAGGACGCACCCACCTGCGACCCAGTGTCAACCTCATCAATGGGTGCATCACGATCCTCCATTGCTGCAACGGGTATGCGGGCGCCTCCATCAACAGTCTGAAAAGGATGACTGGGAACTCGAATCCAATTCGGGGGAGGCAATTCATGTCTAACTTGAGAAATTTGCATGAAGGAGACCGGAACGTCTTGAACATCGCAGGAAACGGTCCTGCTATGGGATTGAGACAGCTGGTGTGAAAGGTTCAACGACCACGGCTTGCTATTCCAAACCTCAAAGGCTGTCTGTGGCATAGTGAAACTGGTCAATGGCATGGTGGCATCAGCAATAAGGCAGATCTCGATCATCTCAGAAAAAGAGAGCTGGAAATGTCGACGCTTCGGTCTAGACAGCACAGACTTCTCAATTCTGAAGGCGTAATTGGAACCCACATCAATCGCCAAATCTTCTGCATCTTGAAGTGCTTGCCAAGGAGAGAGGAAATCAACTTTGTCACATGCCGAATGTGCCCATGAGCTTCCAAAGGCAGCAATGGCGCTAGCGCCTGGCGGCCCAAGGTGTGTGTACCTGTCGGTCACTTCACACCGGGCGTGCCAAAAGGCTGCATCGAAGGCAGTTGCGCAGGCGTGGACGAAGGTGCCGGCGTGTCGCCAGGTGGTGATTCTCCAGAGCCGCGATGACGCTTCGCCTTGCGTTCTTCTGCTTCTGCTTGATCTGAGAGCTCCTGCAGTGAGTTGACAACCTGTGTTAACCCGGCTGCGATCTTGTGTGAAGCCTCGGATCGCATCTCTTCGTCCTTGGCCTGTTTGAGCTCCGGACTGTTGCCTTCCTCTTCGTCGGAGATCTGAACTGCTCCATCTCGAACCACTTCGGACGTCTTGCCAAATTGACGCTGTGCCTGAGCCAATTGGGCTTTGGCGGCCGAGATCTGATTCTGAATAGTTGCCTCCTGGGATTGGAACAAACCCGCATATTCCTTCCATCGGGAGACACTGTATTGGAGGAAAGTCCGCCAGGACGTGACTAGCCGCAGACGTGCAGCTTCTGCTTCGGCTACCTCTGTCTTGGCACGCCCAATCTCGAAGACACTGGCGTGTACCTGCCCCAGATTGAGCTGGAGATTGGAATGATCCACTTTTTGGACCGCCTGTTGGATCTCCGGGGTCCATGTCTCCTCGGATTGTCGCAGGGCTCCCAAAATGTTCTGCAGGTGCACCTCGGCCGGGGATTGAGGTGTAGTCGGACCAGTCGTAGGCACAGAGTTGAGAACTGGCATTTGCTGCATCTGCTGCGTCCAGAATTGGTCCGGCGCAGGGACAGGCCCCTGCGGCAATGGCGGCGGAGGTGGTGGGGCAAACTGCTGTGGAGGCGCTGCAGGCGGCTGAGCCATCGGGAACTGCGCATAGGGGCCAGTGTTCATATTGGGCGCCCAATTGCCCGGCGGATAATACTGGGCAGCACCAACAGGAGCACCTTGTTGACCACCTTGAGATTGCTGACCACCATTGTGGCTTCTCCTGCGGGATTTCCGTCTCGGAGTCGCTTTGCGGCCATGAGCATTGCCATATCCACCCTGATTCCATGATGCCGCACCAGAGGAGGAAGGCGGTGCCTGAGCATTGCCCGGCTGATACGTGTAATCCATGACTTCCTGCCAAGTTTTGCCACACCATGCACAACGAGGCATCGAAGCTTTGGCCATCTTGTGACAGATGCTGCAGCGCCAAGGCTGTTTGGTAGCAGCCATTGCGAAGGAGATCTTGGCAAGGAACTTGAGGTCGCGACTGTGATGAGTCGCCAAAGTCGAGCGAATTTTGGCACGCGCCGTAAATCCAAGCCTTCTCACACCAGTCCGATGGAGGAACCACTGATGTCGGGCTAAGGCACGGGCTCTTCTCAAAGCACGCCTCCTTGTTGGAGTAGTCGTTGGAAACCACGCAAAATCGCACAAGGACAATGAAGAGGATGACAAAAAAGTGCATATACTAGTCCAGCTCTTCGGCGAGAACAAAATATGCACAATTGCCAAGCCCGATCGTGGCCAAGTATGCAAGGAACCAGAGAAACCTTAAGGAGCAAGCCCGAACTTCCCCAAGTAGATCGGCAGGTGCAAGGTGTACAGAGCCCGGGAGGTTTAAAGAGGCCGGGACCTCGAGAGCACGCGCTTGCACAAAGTGGCCACCGCCAGGGCAATACCAGTTCAGCGGAGGCACAAAGGCAGCAAGGCTAAGCAGCTATGGCTAGCCCGTGGGATCGCGCGAGTCCCACTTAGGTTAGATGGACGAGGGGCACCCTGTTCACGCTGTTGTGAACCCCAAGCCAAAACCTTATGTTACTAACCAACAAATATTAATGTCACCTTTGCGCCCCTCAAAGGGCGTCCGACAACCAAGGCGCCCACAACCTCAAAAGCTCAGCACTGGCTACTTCGATCGGCACTTTGAACGACTGAGGCCCCGTCGTTCCCTGGCAGGGACGCAAAAACTCAAGCTGGATTTCGGACATTTTTTCGAATCAAAACTGTTCGGTTAACAATCAAGAATGAAAGGGACAACCAGGGATTACAACTATAACTATCAAAATTAAGGGCATTAGCCATCAAATATGTAGGATATTGAGGGATTTAACCAACAAACACGGTGGTCAAAACAATAAAATGTAGGGAGAAAACCATGAAACATGCAGGCTTACGCCAGCAATGGGCAGTCAAACATTTTTCTTTGGCATCCGCGAGATGATAGACTAGCCACTACAGGATTTATGCTGGAGATATCAACGTTGTTTTGCTCCACGATTCCCTGAAAACAGCCAACAGCCAGAGTTGATTTAAGGGAACACATGCGGGACACCCTGTTTTTTTCCCAGAAGAAACATATGTTTTCTGTAGCTATTCCCTTCAGCCAATCCATTTACTTCAGGAGTGGGGCTTCCCAACCCCGGCCACACCGTTCTACTGTGGATGGACAAAATCCTGCACCAGTTGGGAACTATTGGGGTTCCTGTGAAACACTGTAAATAAAGGGTTATAAGGGCATTTTGCCCATCTACCAACTTGTGTAGGATTTCTGAACCATCCACAGTAGTTGGTGAGAATTTATAGTCTATATATATATATATAGTATTAATACCTAGAATCACTGACCATTTTGCACTAGTTGGTACTATTTTGTCCTATTGTTGCAACATTCATCCATTAGAGACAGCTACCATTCCTTCATCCAGCTCCCACCTTAGTGACACGCTGGGAATAAAGCTATCATGACTGGGGAGATGGTTGATTGGGGTTTAACAGGTTTACCAGGTTCAACACGTTTGTTCTTGTTGCAAGTTGCGTGGGAAAATCGAGTCATGTGGGTAATTCACAATGCCATGTTTACCATCCCCCAGTCATCACCATTGTTATAGGTGATATTTTTACCATTCCCAGAATTTTTAGTTGTTTTAGTTGCACATGTTTGTTAACCCCCATGGTCTTGTTTGGACTCCAAGCTGTTGGTGTCTATGGACCTGATATTTCGCAAGGATTTCCTGATGTGTCAAGACTTCCCCCATGCCAATTTTGTCAACCCCTCACATTTGTTTTGGTCAAATCAAGTGAGCATCCATATGGAGGTTTTCATAAATGGAGGTACCCCAAAGTGGATGGTTTATAATGGAAAATCCTACTAAAATGGATGATTTGGGGTACCCCTATTTTAGGAACCCCCCAAGTCAATCTTTGTAAATGTCACGTTTTCCTCTTTGAACCCATGGTGGCCCCATGCATGTTTGTAGTGAGTCAAGGTCAACTCTGTAAGGGGTGATGCCAATAGCCAGGGATTATGGTAGTGAAACAACTACAGAAAATGATGCTAGAGATAACTGTAGTTATTGGATGTTAGTGGATGTTCATGGGGGTCTAATAAAAATTAAAACTGAGTCGTCAAACTGAGTCGTCAATCGGTTGCACCAGCTGTTTCGGACGCAGGCCTTTTGGTCAGGGTGCCTTTGGAGAAGTTTGGTGCTGTCGGGAGTCCTTTTGGACGAGATTTTCATGCTGACGTGTGGGGATTGGCTGTGCAGCCCTGGGGATGGGATACAACCACAGAATGTTATAATATGTTATAATCTGGTTATAATATGTTATAATCAACCATGGTTATAATATTATATCAACCATGGTTATAATATGTTATAATCGGGTATCCTATACCATAGTCTGGATCCATAAGGTATATTTTTTTTTTATTCCCATGATTGATCATAATATATTCCAATCATAATATTGGATTTGTCAAAACCTTTTATATAATACCATATTTGGAGGAATAACCATCCATTAACCAGCTGTTTTAGGGTACCTAAAAAACCAGGGTTTTGACCCATAACCATAACCATATGCCTGGAAATCATGGCAAAGAAGGATCTAACCGTCAAATAAACATGAAATGGTGACAAATGATGATGAAGAAGTGAAGGTACTGTCTGGTAATTTAACAGTTTGCTATAGGCTATAGCAAATACCTTTTTGAACAGGTAGATCATCTATGAACGGAACCATTTTTCATAGCTATGCTAAATTGCAGGAGGGTACAAACTCATTGACGGTCAAAACCTGAGGTCAAAACAGGACCGATTTTGGTCAGTTTTAGTATCGAAGCCAATGTCTTCAGGAGGTACCCAATGACTTGACCCATGAAAAAAACCTGGGTATATGTGGCAATAAAGGCAAATTTAACTATATGCCATTTCTAATATTATCAAATAATAGTATTGTATATATTACATATAACTAGTATACCCAATCATTTCCAAGTATATAGATGTTATCAAATGCACTGGTGGTCGCAGCAAACATGGGGTGCATGAGCAAGAAGATTTCAGTTCGAAGCCCATTGGTGACATGTGCTTATATTATTCTGGTTGGTGGTTTCAAACATTTGTTATTGTCCATTTCATATATATATATATATATGGGATGTCATGCTTCCCATTGACGAACTCCATCATTTTTGATGGTTAAACCACCACTAACCAGATATTTATATATTTGATGTTCTGAAAAACATTTGTTTTCACATTGATTACATGTTGTTCAATATTAATTGAACTGCCATTTTTTCTCGTTTCATAAATCGGGTTGATTACTTGTTGATCCATTTGCCTATGGAAAGATCCACCATGATTTTTCAATGGGAAAAATCACAATTTTTAATGGGTAAATTAACGAACTCTAGCTGGCCTTCTATATGTTAAATTACCAGAGGGTATATATTTATAGGATTTTATAGGCATTTGCTACCAATGATATTCTTCTTTATATTACCATCATCATCAAGTCCTATTACAGTCATTATTATTCCTATTATAGCCACTACCAATACTACATGACCAATTTCTGGTTGATCAAAAAGTAAGAAGTATTACTATAGTAATTATTATTCATATTGTAGTCAATAGTTCAATAGTTATTTTATCTATCCAGATTTTCTTACTGGTGCTTAGTAGGGAATGAGGGAATGATCCATAATGACTATCAATAATCATCCCATTCCCCCATTCCCCCATTCCCATCCATTCCCTACGTTTAGCACCAGTAAGTTTTTGGATAGTATTATCCAGATATACCCTCTGGTTATTTAACATAGTAACATAGAAGCCATGGCCCATTTAGAGATGTTAAACTGATGATTTCCCTATTCAAAAAAGCCAGACTTCTACAGTTATGGCCATTTACCAGTTATAACTGGTTATTTCTATGGGATTATACATTCTATAAATGGGGTTTTCTTAGTACTTATAACTGATAAATGACCATAACTGTAGTAAGTTTTTGGTTGATCAGTTACATCCGCTTGGAAACTTTCGAGGCCAAGACCTTCACGACAAGGCGCCCTGCGCCGTGAAGGCAGTGCGATACAAGGGCAGCGCAGGCGGTGACCCCGGGGCTCTGGGTGGGAGAGGTGGAGAGAGCTGGTACCAAGCAGATGAAGCATGGAAAATCATTGGATTTCATGGAAAAAGAGAGGAAAATCCACTATCATCGCCTGGATTTGCGATGATTGTTGATTTTCTCAATGGGAAGTTCACTACTTGGGAAATCGAAAAAGTTTTCTTTTTGGGGGTGTCCTTAAGGAAATCCAGGATAACAAACAGGAGATGTTGACCAACAATAACGATAGATCATGTAGATAGAATGGTGACGTCCAAACACTGGATGTTGTGTATATTAATATTTCACTAACTATGACTACATATAACAACCAAAACGAAGATTTGAATAGATGTGGCATTGTATGCAGGTAACATGGGACAATGGGAACATGGTGTTGCTGTTTAAATGATAGAATGAGGGTGCTTCGACCTACAGTAAAGCACAATTGCTGGATGGTGGTAGCCATGGTTTCCATGGTCTCAGGTTCAGCCAGGTCAACATCTAGACTTTGACCAGGCAAATCATGGTGATTCTACATGACTTTTATCAGTGAAGATCAGGAGTTCACGTGAAGAAACTCGGGATTTTTACTGGAAGGACATGGGGATTTATGTTGATTCATCAACAAGAACGTGATTTGAGCAGAACACAGCATATTATTGATTTATGTGATTTAGTTAATTGAAGAATATGGGGAGTGGACCAACGAAAGCTGGGGATATGCTGATATGCAGTACAAGTAGCTAGTAAAAGACCCCGTTTGGTGACTTGCACACCCTGGGCACCATCTGTACCCCTGTTGTTGGTCGTTTAAGGGGCGGCCCTTCTGGTTG